CTCTCTCTCTCTCTCTCTCTCTCTCTCTCTCTCTCTCTCTCTCTCTCTCTCTCTCTCTCTCTCTCTCTGTCTTTTTCAATGGCTACCAAGGCATGAAGATTATAAGTGGTTGAATGTTGTGGTAGTTAGTGCAAAAAAAGAAAAGAAAGAACAAAAAAATGCCATACAAGTCATATACTTATTGGACATGTTTATAAAAAAAATCTACATCACGCATTCAATTTATTTTTAACCACAGACAACTTTTCAAAATTAAAGGGATGGTTCACCCAAAGATGAACGTTCAGTCTTTTTTGACTCACTCTTATGTTGTTCCAAACCTGTTTGACTTTCTTTTTACCAAGAAGGGGAAGATTTTCAGTTAATAAGGTCTTAAAATATTAGTCTGTTCAATGTATAAATGTATCGCAGAACACTTGGCACATATGGTGCCAAACTACAAAACATACACTACCGTTCAAACAGTCAAAGGGTCAGTAAGGATCAATGTCACTTACGCTTCCCAAAGCTGCATTCAATTTAAAATATAGTGTGTGTATATATATATATATATATATATATATATATATATATATATATTAAAGGGGTGGTATAATGCCCTTTACACAAGATAAATAAATCTCTGTTAATACCCCACAGAAATGTTTATAGCATGTTAAAGTTGTCACTTCTTGAGGGTTAGCAAAAACGCACCGTTTTGTGTGTGGCCCTTTAAATGCAAACGAGGTGCAGCTCCCGACACAGTGGGCGGAGCTTCAATAAAGTCATGATGCACTGCACAGACTTCTCTGGATATATTAAATAAATATATTGATTAATCCTTATTACAGTTACAAAAGTCATTCGTTCAAGAGCATTAAGAGAGTTTTTGCAGTGCGTTTTGTACACTAAAATGACTTTAATGCCTTTAATGTTCAAACCGGAGTCAGACAAAGATGGAGAGACTAAAAAGTGACAACATGCAAAATGCAACAGGACATCTCTGATGAGTTGATGAATGTATGTTAACTATCTTCAATTAGCATATTCTGTCAGGATAATCTATGGCTTGCCTTGAACATGAACTGTTGTGGGATTCATAAAGAGTAACTACAACAGCTCTTCCTCTTCTCAACATGGACTGCGTGTTTCCAGGGGCGGGGTTTATGTAAATGTTAGGGTTAATGATGTCACATTTTAATTACAATTAATTTTAATTAGTAACATTTTAATTATCTGTTTGTCATTTTTGATCAATTCAATGCATCCTTGCTGAATAAGAGTGTTCATTTCTTTTGAACTGCTGTACAGTTTTGTGGTACTTGTGCTGTTTTAAGAGCTTCAGAGTGCCTGATCAATACGCTGATTTCACGCAGCCGCCATTTTGAAATCGAAAGCGAGGTTCCAGTCGGAAGAACCCCGGAAGTACAGATAGACAACAATGCCTTGGAGTACCAACCTGAAGCTGCTGCCATGATTTACACTAATATCCAATATAGGATATGTATATAGTTCATAGTTTTTACGTTCTGAATTATCAAAATGGCGGTTGCGTGAAATCAGCATATGCTTTCATTTCATTGAGAAGGCCAGCCGGAAGATCACAATTTTAACAAAGAAAAACTTCATAGAGTCATTTTTTATATGATCTCAAACTCCATAAGCATGTTTACAGTGTCCTAATGTCACCAAGAACATCTCACAATATTGCTGTAATGTTACTAACAGTAGTTTCCTCACACCAAATCCAACGACGCATTGTCTGTGTTTGTTTGAGAACAAGTGTAACGTTTGCTAAGTGTTGTAAAAATCCCCTAATTAGAGGCTCTTCCCATTAAACACGCTGAAGTCCAGACACAGAATTATGGCATAGTTTAACGCACAGTTAGTGGTATTATTATGCCATTAGCGGAGCAAATCCTCACTAAGACAAGGTAATTGTGAGACGAACTGTGACTACAGTAGAAGCACTGTTCTTGAAAGAGTGAGAAAACCAAACAAGCCATTATTAGACCATAAGCTTTTAACCGGCCTCAAGAAAACAAAATGCTTTAACATCTTTCTGCATGTATACAAACTTGCACAAACACCTTTGCAAGCACAATACTGAGCCATTGAAAACAGATTAAAGTGAAGCAATATTGATGTTCTGGCATGCTGAATTGTGTGATCATGCACTTAGGACTGATCTTGTAGTGGCACTACATGCACTTGTGAGGCCACGCTCAGAACTGTCGTTCACCTGCCTCTCAGATAGACAGATACTGTAAGGGACACAGACATAGCAGACCCTCACATCCCCCCCGATGTGCAGACAAAGGGCCAGTGTTTGCCCCCTGGGCAGACGGAAGATGAAAGGTAAGGTGATGAGCGGGGCAGATGAAACGGCGGGAGTCAAAGGCTTCTCTTGTGCGAGCGCTGTGTGGAGTGGGTGGCGGAGGGGCAGCTGGGGGTATAAAGTTTCAACTGCTCGTGCCCATGTGGGAGGTTAGATATAGTCGGCATGCGATATCACTGCAAAAAACATGTTTAATGAGTTTAGAATGTTCTCTTTCAGCTGACGTCACTTAGGCCGCGTGGACAATAGTCAAACAACTATTTTAATCAGTCAATGGGGTCTAATCAGTCTAATGTTAGTCAATGGGATCCCATACAATTGTTGGTTACCCATTTTCTTCGAAATACCTCCTTTTGTGTTCAGCAGAAGACAGAAATTCATACAGGTAGGAATAACTTGAGGACGAGTAAATGATTCCAGAATAAAAAATTTGGGGTGAACTATTCCTTTAAATTGGCTGACTCCCTCATCAGTGCCCTGACTACTCAAGAGAGCTAATTCTCAATTGTTCTCAATCGCGCCAATTGTTAACCAGTTGCTTATAACTTGCTATATCTTAACTTGCTATAGTCTACTTCACCAGGCTACTGTTTTAGACAAGAGCACCCTCTGATTGGCCGTGGTGGTGGCATTGCAACTATCCTTAGAAATATTATTTTCTTATAATTGTTAAAACACGACAGGTTTAATTCATTCAAGTGTTTGTGCTAAATGTTACACTTTCAGATATAAATAAGAATCCCTACAATCTCTTGCTTTAGCTATACCGTGTATAGACCTCCAGGGCCCTATGCTTATTTCTTAAAAGAGTTAGCAGATTTTCTTATCAACGTTGACCACCTATAGTTGTCTGAGATTTTGACATTCATGTAGATAATACAAATGATAAATTAGGGGTTGCGTTTACAACTGAACTCATTTGGAGCACAAGCAAAATGTCACTAGATCCACTCATCTTACATTAGATTTAATTATATTGCATCTTACTGATATAGATATTATACTGCAAAATGATGATGTCACTGATCACGTAATGTGCAAGCTGTGTACTGCTGATATTTGCCATATCAGGCGCGTTATCGACCAGGTAAGAATATCCCAAACACTATAAGATTCACAAATCACCTGCCTGATCTGTCTCAGCTTCTCAGTGTACCCAAACAAACAAATGAACTTCGTAGTAATGGACTAGCAGTAGCCTATAAGCACCATTTTCTTTGCATTTCTCTAGTCTACATTAGAAACTGTTGCACACATCAGATTAAAAAAGTTTAAAAGAGAGAGAGAGAAAAGTACTGCACCATGGTACAATAATAGTATTACTCACGTTATCAAGAGAAAAAACTAGAGCAATCTAGAGCGCAAATGGAAGCAAACTCATTTAGAGTTACAACATATCATTGTACATCAAAATGTGTTTTCTATGATGATAGTTTCACTACTTTTCAGTACAATGCAATTTAATGTGTGTGACGTTTCAGACATTGTGCTAAAAATAATTTACCCAAATAGGACAAAGTGAGTTATAGATGACGAAACCATAAAAAAAGTTATATCTCAGAAGTAGAAAACTAATTTTGGAAAATATTTTAGCCTTAAATATAGCACATGTAAAATATAAAGTCATTAATGTTTTTTTTTTTCTAGCTTGTTTTCACAATTAGTCCCATGTCATAATTTGTGTTCATCTTTGATAGCACCTTTGATTGCATTTCGAGTAAGCACCATAGACTGTAAAAAATAGGACGAAGCACACATAGACATATATTATGTCTATGGAAGCACATACAAAAAACCTGAACCGGAAGCAATGCAACCAATGTTACAGACATTTTTGCGCATAACCCCCTTTGTAAAACTCTACAAAAATACTGTTTCATAACTTACCTCTACTTATAAAAATAAAGATAGATTAAAAATGTGTTATTATAATAATTAGTTAATCTATATAAAATAATAGTAGCCTTACTGACACACATTAACAAGCTTTTACTGAAAGAAATCAATGCGAATAGCAACTTTTATGTGACATGTTGATGTTAAAACACTTCAAAACGTTCTCTTTAATTTTTAATTAATTAAAATAAAAAGTAAATTGTTTAATTTGTATGAATACACATAGGCCTATGCAACACGTACGCGGACACCCTGATTGGCTGATATAGGCCATAACAATAACGTTAGAGAGAAATGTGCAAACTATGGCTCTATAGGCCTTATTACTAACTGCTAGACTAGGGTCATGTCGACATGCTACTCAAACAAAGATGACAAGACCTTATTCACAGCAGCGAATTTTATTTTTTATTTTTAGCTGGAATAATAAGCGAGGTGAGGGATAGACATAAATCTCTTTAGTGGGTTCCACTGTAAATTGTTCTGCTGACGAAACACTGCAAAAATATCCCAGACAATATGACCAGTGGATAATTATAAGTGATCTTGATATTTATAAGTAAACACTGAAAAAACGGTAGGCTAGCTATCCCTCACAGACTCGCTTTGTCTACGGGCGCTGCTTTGAAAAACACAAGAGAAATCAGCAACAGATGCAGATAATTTTCGCTATCACACGTGTACCGTATCGTAATGACTCTTTGGAAACAAAAGAAATGCTTATTTATCTTGCTAATGTGACGTGAGACCAAAACTATTCAGCATATAACTTAAAAACATGCTTTACCTGTTTTCAAGGAGAAGCTTCTCTTCAGCATTAGTTTGCGCCCTCGTCTGGTCGCTACCTCGTACTGCACGACACCTGCAAGCAGCTTGGGGATTTGAAAAGGTCTCATCATACTCATTTTATTGAAAAAATAATGTGAATAAATCTTTAATTTAAAATAAAATAATCAAACCATCGCTTTACATAAGAATAGCGTGTTTGTGTGTGTGTGTGTGTGTGTGTGTGTGTGTAAATTTGTTTGTGTGAAAAATCCCTTTTCACATTTTACCTGCATGGTCAGGCCTTCAAAGTAGCCTAACCTGTTTTGTGATCCTTTTGAGGTCAGCAGGTCAGAACTTATTAGGGGTTTATTTTATTTATTTATTTTATTTTTTTGCAGCAGCAGCCAAACACAACAGACAAAGCTGACAAACACTCCGTCAGTCAACAGGAGATCGCTCTTATATGGACGCATCTTGTCACTGGGGTTGTAATACGTTGTACTTGTGATTGATATGAGTAATCTTGGGGAAGTAGCGGATATGAATGCTACAGCAGATTTTCTTTGGTAATAAATAGGTCTTGGGAGAGATTACTGAGCCTGGGGAACAACACTCCCACGCTGCCCCATTAAGAGTCTACAGCAGCACGGTCTTAATATCTCATCTTTCACAAGAGCAGGTTTATGGTAATACTGTCAATGATAACATACACACACCCACACATACACACACATGCATGCACGTACAGCACAATCACCTACACAAACACACAAACCATTTCTCCTCATCTCGTTATTAAACAAGCGTCCCTGCTAAATCCTCATAATGTTACCAGGCAATCTTGTGAGCATTGGTGAATATAAGAACAATTTAGCATGGCTTTAGCCAGCATGTTAGCTAGAGAACATAGCTTTTAAACATTGACAAAAACACAATCATCTAATTCTTTCCGGCTGCTCGTGAAAGACAAAAGAAAAGGGGATTATTTTGCCACTAAAAATGTAAAAATCCTTGCATTAGTTTAAATTCACTGCCGAATGGGCAGATACGACTTTAGAATGAGATGATTTTAACTTTTTTTTTTGCTTTTTATCTGTAACTTTTTTGAGCTATTTATCTAAAAAATGATTGTCTACAACGTGTCCCTAAAGTTAACTGTTTAAATTAATCGCAAGTACAAAGAGTGCTGATGATCCCCTTTAACTTTAAGCATTTTAATTCAAAATGTTTTTTGTTTTTTTTTTACAAAAAAAAAGGGGGGGGGGCATTTTTTTAGAACAGCAAAAAAAAAAAGAGCTGGAAACATAATGATTTAAATACATAAAATATGAACTAACAGGCAAAGCCATGTTACAACCCTCTCAGACATGTTTCTAGTATATATATATATATATATATATATATATATATATATATATATATATATATTCACATTGCTGTTTAAAGGTTTCAATGTAATTTATTCCTGTGATGGGAAAGCTGAACTTTCAGCAGCCATTTCTCCATCAGAAATAGAAAAATGTCTTATTATTGTCAATGTTGAAAACAGTTGCTGCTTAAAGTTTTTCTGAAAAAGATTTTTTATAGCTCCACCGCTGGCTAGCAAAAATAACTTTGTGACCAAAAGCAGTTGTCTGTAACTCAGGAAATTAAATCTGTCTCTATACATTTATGGTCAAATTGGACTAATGCACAACCAGTACATTTTGATGCTGATATTTATTGGCTTCCTGAAAATTAGACAAATGCACACCGTTTATATGCACTCGATGCTATTTTCCGGATGCTCAAACAACATTTCAACATTCCTCAATTTCCTCCTGCAGTACATAACAAAATACCCAAAGCTTTTTTTTTTTTTTCTGTCAAGCATCTTGAGTGGATCGATCTTATAAAGAGGCTGAAGAGAGCAGAGGAGAGGCTCCTAATTGAATGAGTTGTACAAGCACTTCAACCAGGTAGTGGACACTGAAGGGGAGGAGACAAGCTAAAATTCCCACATGAAGGTGTAAATTACCAATGGTACAGACAGCCAATGCAATCGAGGAATTACCCAATGCGACAGAGAAGGCCTGTCCTATTGATTGGTCTGCGGAGATGTTTGTAAACTGCCTATAATGGCCCCCACACTTTATACTCCCCATCAGGGATGGCTTTGACCTCCAAAAGCAATTTCTATAGATCTGCTTCCACTCATCTGGCTTCTTCCTGGTTCCAGCGCCACTCAGGCCACAGGGTGGGCAGTAACTCGAGCCCTGCTCGCAGCCCGTCTAATGCACTCTATGGATCGCACTGCTGTCTGGAACACACAGTCTTGACAGTAAGTAAAGACTTGGGTTAAATGGTAGAGAGGTGAGATGATCTAACCACAGTTACATTCTTCAACCACTACAGAGGAGACACATTACCACCAACAGCCCAGACCCCGTCCTGACCTCGGGTAACCATTAAATCCCTGTCCCTGCGAGGTATCACCAATACCGTTGATACGACATGGATATCAACCAGATATCAGATGTCTCTTTATGAACGGGTTCATGGATTTCTATCAGGGGTTCAAACTGGAAAGGGGGTGCCAGGAGAAACACAGAAAATATCAGAGACAAATATATTGCCAATTAACAGTGTACAACACTGTTCAAAAATTTGGGGTCAGTTAGACTTTTTATGTTTATAAAAGAAATCATTTTTGCTCACCAAACCTGCATTTGTTTGATCAAAAATACAACAGCCTACAAACTAATATTTTGAAGTAATATTACAATTGAAATGAACTGTTGTTGTTTTTTTACGTAGGCTATTCTTGTGATGGCAAAGCAGAATTCCATTGTTTTCAGTCTACACATGATCCTCCGGAAATTATTCTAATACTGACATTATTCTATACTATCTTTACAGTCACATTTGATCAATTTAATGCATTCTTGTTGAATAAAAGTATTAATTTCTCTTCTTTTTTTAACATATTGACCACAAACTTTTGAACAGTAGTTTATGTACAATATACAATCCTAAAAAAACTAAAACATGACAGAATAGTAAATAAGTAAAAAGATGTGTGTACATTTATTTAGCCTATTCATTTTAACAATTTGACACTGTTGCCTTTATAATACCACACCTGCAGCGCAGTATGAACAAGTCATATAGAATACAGTATGACTGCCTTTATATTTTAGGAAGGGGGTCCCAGGAATTGAGAAGTCTGATTTGGAGAATAAAACTGGCCTGTATGTGGACTGTAATGAAGTCCATAAACCGGAACAACATAACTGCTGTTTACGTGAAGGTTCTCCAAGTTAGTTTCTTTTCAAAAGAAACCCGCAAACACTTCCAACAAGAGGCTGAAACAGGGCTACAGACTTAATATAAACTCCTGCTGATTTTCCAACGTAGGCCTATTTATCAGCACTTTACAGGCATCTGAAAGTGTTTAAGGGCCCTGCTACTGTTTGCTCCAATACATCATGAACCTAGAGTTTGGCTTGGGATCAGAGTGTACTGGGGAGGTAGACGACTTCTTAATTACATCTTGTAATTTCATGAAATTTTCATTACAGTCCTTAATCTTTAAAGTGCACAGTACTTGTGTTTTGATCCAGCTGTTCAGGTAAAACATCACCTGTTTATTTAGCCAGCAGATGGCAGAATAGAGCGTTTCCGTTTTTTGCTAAAGTGTCCAAAATTAAGCCCCAAAAGACGTCATTTGATGCACTTAGTGTTCGGGATAGTACAAAATCAATGGGTAGTCTCAAAACCTCATCAGTATCACTATCGGATGCAGTGTAATGCATATCGAAATGAGAAATCACAACGCCTAAGGAAGTTGTTTTGCTGCCCGACACTCAATGGATATTTATTGACTGATGTAGCCTACTTCAACAGCTACGTCAGCAGGCAGAGCACGTGGTATCATGGTAACCAGCTTCACATCTCGAGTACTCATACTGGTATAGTTCCACTAGGCAGACCAGCGGTGAATGAAGCCAGCACATGACCAGTTCAGATTTACAGTCATTTAATTGATGTCAAATGTAGCTTACAAACGGGAAAGACACGTACCATTTTCAAGAATATACAAGGACACAAATCATATCACACAATCATCTTGTGCAATCTGTCATCTTTGGGGCAGGAACGAATTGTTCGGCAAAGGAGGAATACAAAGAGTCAACCCTAATTCTTATTTACTACCTGTATTTTACAAAATTGTTGCAGAGATGATGTTGGTACAGCTGTTGACCCAGCCACTGTTAAGAGTTTAAGGAACAGTGAAAGAAGTTATAACAAACGCAACACTTGACTGTTTATTGTGGAGTTGGGATCAGCAATGACCTTTCACTTCTTCCTTTTTTTTTTTGCGCTTACATCAATACAGAAATCACAGAATACATAGATGTACAAATATAAAGCACACTGTCTCACTCCTAAGGAAAATGTGAGCAGTCGGTTGGTCAGTCAGGGAAACGAGTCTGGACTCTTCCAGGTCATTCTTGGATAAAATAAAATAAAATGTTTACCTTTACCTTGATGTTTCAGTGAGGATATCTGAACATAACTTGTAAATGAAAGCACCCCAAGATGTTTTTTTTTTTTTTTTAAATAAAAATCCCTTTCCGAGGGAAGAAACTGATATGCAACTGGTCAGGGGGTCTCTTAATACTGTATGTTCGATGGAATAAGCAATAATTCCAATTGTTTGTAACAGACAGATGGCATTCAGCATTAAGCTAAAAAAAAAAACACTGAAAAATTAATGAATAAAAGCAAATCTTTCCATTTCTTGAAAAAAGGAAAGAAAAAGGAAGAAACTTTCCCTTGTTTCAGGATTAAATCTACAGTTTTTACTGTATATTTCAATGAAAAATGTACACCTAAATCTTTTAAGTCCTAGTTTGAGTAGTTTATTATTATTATTACTTAAATTTCTTCCTGTACAATGAAATACAACTTCAAGACAACAACATCTGCTTTAAAAATACAGAGGGTTTTCTTTTCTTTTTTCATTTTTTTAATTCACCAAAATTGAAACATATGCCCTCCCTCCCGACCCAAACCACGC